GCAAGTTGCCCACTCACACGACGTTCCACAACTGGTTTCATCATCAAATTGGGTGATAGCCCCATCTCTTGGCGCACTAAGAAACAATCTACAGTCTCTCGCTCTTCTGCTGAAGCTGAATATCGTGCAATGGCCACTACAGCTTGTGAACTTGTTTGGCTTCGCCTCCTCCTTCAAGAACTTACTGTGCCACATCCACGGCCAATTCTGCTTCACTGTGACAATCAGGCTACCATTCACATTGCTCACAATCCAGTTTTCCATGAACGCACCAAACACATTGAATTAGATTGTCATCTTGTTCGTGAGAAAATTAAATCTGGCCTTCTTACTACCTCCTATGTTTCGAGCTCTCAACAGATAGCTGATATTTTTACTAAACCATTGGGACGTGAATTATTTCTCTTCTTTCGCTCCAAGTTGGGCATTACGGATCTCCATGCTCCAACTTGAGGGGGAGTATTACAGCACACCACCAATCACAGTAGCAATCACAGCACACCAGCAATCAAGCAAATGATATGATTACAGAAATCAAGCCAAAACTTTCCATTTACAGATTATTTCCATCACAGGCTCCATTTCCTATGTATAGCTTGAATTCTCACCTATAAATGTATACACAATCATTGTAAAACATATGAAGTGAATTATTACAGTTTACCTTCATCAAATTCTATTATAATAAAAAAGATAAGTGCGATTTTTTTATTTTTTTTGTTCATCTTGGTTTCGAGTTCCTTTACAGTTTATTGTACTGTTTTCTTTGTTATTTCTTGAGTGCAAATTACTGTAAACTTAAAGTTACATTTTCGGATTCTTAGTTCTGATTTCTTGAACATTTATATTGGCTGTTTTTGTGAGCTAATCATTTCAACTCCTCCCAACAGATTTGTATTTCGAACTATTCTAGTGAATTTCTTTCCGGTTATAGAGCCTGTGGATTTTCTCTTCTTGTGATGAGGTCTTACCTAACTCAATTATTATTCTTCTTTATTTGCATCTTTATATATTAAACGTGCGTAACAAATTTTACCCACGGCTTTATATGTTACATATGCATAACAAATTCTACTCAGACATGTTCTTGTCGATCGTGATGATTTAGTACCTTATTCAATTATTATTCCTCTTTATTTAGTGTTTTACGTGTTACACGCACATAACAAATTCCACTTATAAATAATTAAAAGCAACGTTGAGCAATGACTAATTTTCCTTACACCAACATTATTTCATTTTACCTGTCCCCCACAATCTACAATCAGACATAGGATAGATATTTTAACCTTTGACGCATGGGAAAATGCTAGTCTCTTTCCAAAGGAAATCAACAAACAATTTCCACCAATTTTCTAATATTTTAAGAAAATAGATTTCTCTCGTTTCATTTTCTTATCAATAATGCTGCTTGTACAGTGACCTACTTGACAGGTTCCTTACAGGCAAGACACAATGGTGGGCCCCACCATTGTTTAAAAAAAAAAAAAAAATAAGCTCGGCCCCACATGTGTGAGGGGTATGTAAGGAAACTGTCAAATAGGTCCCTGTACAAGCAGCATGGTTCTTTCTTATAGAACGTATAATGGGTTGACAGTGCCCTTGATGGCCAGGACCACATGAGCCCAGCCATCCACCCCCAAATAGGGGGCGCCATGTTGCGCCCTTGATTGCTAGGGCCCACATCTGGCCCTGGGCGAGCAGTTTTATTCTAAAGGGTTATACGTGTTCCATTAACCACATTCCACAAGCACTATTCTGTCGAATTGAATAGGCACACCTACGTGTCCCCAAAACCAAAAGAAAAGATGAAACAAAATGGGTTCTCATTTCAATCAATCAAATATGAAAAATGGCTATTATCTCTGCTTTGTTAAGTTTTCCATTATTGATTAAAAGAAAGTACGAGTATTGTAAGAAATCAACAATCAAATTGTAGCGGAAGCCCGCTTCAAAGATTGTCAAAACGGTGTTTTTGAGGCTCAATTTTACATTCATTTTCTCTATCAAATAATCAATTCAAACGACTCTAACCTACAACCAACATATTCACCTCGATTGATCCCCAATCTCATCCAAAAGGACAAGATAACAGTGATGATTTGTAAACTACAAAGACACAAGAAAAAACAATAAAGTAAGTCACAAAGAAAGCCACCATTTAGCAGCCACGTTTTCTCTCAATTGTATACACAAATCACAGACTTTACGACTAGTGTAAAAATAACACACACACACACATTTAAAAAAACTCCCTGAGATTTATGACAATTTTAGATAGACCCCCTCTAATTGTAGTGCAAATGTATATTTTTAATTTCTATTTTATCCTTAACCCTTAGTTATAATAAAATTTGAAACTATTGTTGAATAATATGTTACATCGTAGTATGTAAGTTGGTTAAAAACTAACATTCTTCTTAGCTAAAATAAATACTATTCAATTTATGTAATAATTTTTGAATAAAATTACATATTTTTAAATTCTACCTTTTATATTTGTTACAATCATGGGAATGACAACAGAGTAGAACAGGTTAGGGTGGTCCTCCTTGTGTTGCGTCTCGCTGATAATTTCTCGGTAAAATTGTTCAAGGATTAAACCATTTCTACTATCATGTCGTCTCGCCATATTATCGTCCATCTCCGAGTGAGAATATTAAGAATCCGAAACAGGTTGGAGAGTGGAATTTGCTATGGCAAGCACGTGTCGATCTTATGTTCAATGTTATTAACGGAACCAGATATCAAATAAGAAGGGAGATGACGACAATAGCAATATTAAGGTGGTCTCACACAGAGATTATTATTGATACGATAAAGAAAGACAAGACACGAGATTATTAGAAGATAATAAAACACGACACAGACATAGCACGAGTTATTCTACTCAACACAAAGTGCACATAAGTTGATTAGAGTTTAGAAGCAGCATCCTTGTCCAAGAACCATGTGAGTCCTCCTTCAGGTGAAACTTCCATGCAAGGCAAGGGAGTTGAACCAGGTTCAAGTCCACCACCCAATGCAATTTTTACAGTATTGGCCAGATCAGCCCCGGTGACCACCATTGCGATCTCTGAAGATGAGTTGATCACAGGAAACGTGAAAGTGATCCTCGGTGGAGGAGGTTTGGGAGAGTCGGTAATGAATGTAACCCACCGCTTCTTCTCATAACGTTGCTGATGTGTAGGAAATAAAGAAGCCACGTGTCCATCTGGCCCCATTCCAAGAAGCATGAGATCAAATTTGGGGAATCCAGAAGCATCAGATATAGGTATAATTTTGCTCTCGACCAAATGCTTGAGACGTGCTTCATAATCATTCGCCGCGCCATCTGGCGACAGCTTGTCATTGATGGCATAAATGTTACCAGAAGGAATTGGTACCTACAAAAATAGTGAAAAGGCAACTCTCTTGACATTCTGCATATATCTGATTTCAAGCATACCCTAACGCAGCCCGAAACAATGAATTCAAGCGAAAGCATTAAGAACATCAAAACTGGAATCCACCAGAGAATGAAAAAATAAAGTCGCGAAATTTTATAAGTGTTTACATGAAAACTTAGTTTAAAAGAACTAAAATTGAAAAGAATTCGAAATAAACTAAATAAATAAATAGCACTAAAACTAAAAATAGTTCCTAAACGGGCTCGGATGGCTAAAACACATCATATGTCACGGCGAAGTGGTGAGTTCAGTTCAGTTCAGCTCGTTGTTCAGTTCAACCTTTTTAACAAAATGGGAGTAGCGAAACTTGAATTAGTGCTTTTGCCAGGCTTCACTGTACATATCTTCAAAACAAGGAATTATCTAATTGTACATCAATTGTCAGTCAAAACAATTGAGTTTCAACTGACAAAATTACATGCACTGATATGCATTCAATTTTGCAGACAAAAAATACCACGAAATGTTTTGTACCTTTAAAAGAAAACCATCACAAGCAAGTTTATAATTACTGTCATCACTATCCAAAGGAACAACCCTCTCATCCACCCAAAAGATGAGCCATTTCGACCAATCAACTGAGTCTTTGTAAGGAGGCTCCACCATTTTCCTTGAAACATGAAAACCAAATTATCACAAATTTACAAAAACATCAACAATTAAAAAAAAACCCATATGGTTACCTTAATTTTTGGGGGAAAAAGGTAGATCCCATTTACAAAATAAGAGGCGTACCTCAGTGTATCGATTAGGGTACCTCCAGAAAGAACAACAGAGAAAGAACCCTTATCTCTGATGTACTTTTCCGACAAATCGGCGGTGTATTTTGCAAGAGCCACGGCGACATCTTCCTCGGAATCGAATTTCAGTATAGTGGGTTTGCTTTTCTTGTGGGCCATTGATGCAGGGGAATCTATGGATTTAGTCCACAATTTGTTATCCAGGATGCACCACATCTGGCCATTTTATAGTAAGAAAAAATTGAAGTCATATTTTAATTTAAGTTGAGATCAACTATTCATATTTAATGAGATTCATATTTTATTAATTTTTATTAAAATTTGATTTTAATTCAAGAACACCATTGCTCGTGACATGCTTATTAATTAAATTAAATAAAATATAAATATATAATGAAATGAAAATAAGCACGTGAATAATGAGATTGAAGTGCTGCTATGTATGTATGATGGATAAGAAGCAACTTTGTCAGTGGTCCTAATATGTACAATTTATATTTGTAATTGTTATCTCTGGCAGAAGTATTATTTGTCAAGTGGTCCTGATATGTAATATTGTGTCAATTGAGATTTATTAGTGTCTAAAAATTTAAAGTTGGATATAATTTGGGAGTTTTTCATTTTTTAATAGAAGATTGATTACATAACAACAATGCAATATTGTGAACCATCTTGCTTTTTTAAAAAAAAATAAAAAAATTGAAGGTCAGCATAGTAGTACAATTTTAACTTATTATAAAGGGATTCAAATTCTATAATTCATAAATGGGATAATGTAGGGGTTAACTTTCATAAATTGTATGCCTATTTTATGGAGAAAAAGTTCTACTTTTGCAATAAAATATGTTATTAATGTGGAAAATGAAAAGAAACTAAATACGGCTACACATATAGATTAGGTGGCATGCTCAGACGGATAGGATTTTATATATGTCGATGTGGCATCAACTATTCAATTGACTGTGCCTATTTAATTAAACATTGGCATCTTGGGCTCGAACTTGGGCCTATCTCACCATGCCCACTTGGCCCATTTCCATTTTTCTATGTGGAAATTACACTTCACCCAATTTTTCAAAATTAATATTCTAAAATCAGGTTGAAGGTTTCATTTTACAAAAATCAGATAATATAATTATTATAAATTAATAATTTAATATTAATAATTATATTATAAATTAATTTATATACATGCTCTCTACACTATCTACCCCATCCAAACCCTAACCCTAAAATCATCTCCCATCCATTCTCTCATCTCAAACCGCCGCCGCCGCCGCCCATCTCCTCTCTCGTCTATCTACTCAAACCAATGTCATCGTCGCCCTCCAGTTGCAGATATATTTTTCGATATGAAATCAGATCTGGAAAAATGTCAGTGTTGGAGAGGCAGCATGAGGGATTAATGAAAATTCATTGACTCCAAATTCTGCTAAGTCATCGTCTTCTTCTGCAGTCGGAGGCGAGGAGGAAAGCAAGGAAGATCTGCAGAAAAAAGTGTGTGAAGATGGAGATGAAAAGTCTAAAAAAGTGTAGGTTTTTGGCGTTTTCTTCTTGAATTTTTTGACACTTAGGACAAATAATTACTATCAAGGTGGACTTTTTTATCCTTTGTCTACATCAAGATAGAAAATCAAGGCATTAGGGAATAGCATAAACAGTAAACATTAATGCAAATTCAAGTGGAATAATTTGTGTATTGTACCTTTGGAGCAATTCATTTCCGAGAAGCTGAGATTTTTTAAAGCACTAGAAATAAAAAGTTTCACCACTTGGGATCTTTATTAAGAAAGATTGTCCTGACTTGTCTGCTGAGATGTCTTCAATTTCTACAGAAGAGCATTGAGTCTCGGTGCTCAATCGCTAGCCTCTCTATACAACCATCATCACCGGCGGATGAGATACACAATTCAGAAGTTTCTGCAGTCGGAAGTGAGGAGGCGGTGGATTTGTGGTGGTATGTTTTGGGCGGTGATGGTGGTCCGTGTGGTGGTGGTCATTTTTTTTATTGTTGTGGTGGTTTTGTGGTCGGGTCAACGGCAGTGGTTGTTCTTTTTGGTGTCTGTAACCTAGCTATTGAACTATAACTTTAAAATTGATAATTTGTAACTAGAAAAATAATTTTTGACCAAAAATTTTGAAAACAAGTGACCTGTAACATATAAATTTTTTGATCCGCGACCTATAAAATAAATTGTGACTTTAAAATTCGGTAATCTGTGACTAAAAATATAATTCATGACCAACCATTTTGTTATATGTGATCTAAAAATTATATATTCTGTGATCGTGAAAAAATCTATGACCAACTAATTTGAAAATCTATGATCGTGTGACCAACTAATTTTGAAATCTGTGATCAACGAATTAATTGTGATTTACAAAATTTTTGAACTGTGACCGTAAAATAATCAGTGATGTATAAAAATAATTATATTTGACTGAAAATAATATGTGATTAACTAAATTGTGAATCTGCGACCATATTGTATAAATTGTCAAAATCGGAGCAGTCGTCGAAATAAAGCTGCGGTGGAACGGTCACCGGAATAATTGTCGGAATTGAAATGGTCGTCGGAATGATCGCCGGAGAAGAGTGGTGGCCGGAACGATCGCCAGAATAGTCCCCGGTGCGGTAGGGGTGGTGGAGGTAGAGTGGGAAAATTATATTATATTAGAATTAAATGTTGAATAATTTATTATTTCATAAATAAAAATTTTAAAAAATCTGTATTTTGAAATTTGAAACTTATTTTCTTATTTTTGAAATGGCACATACTTAGCATCTTAGTTATGAATTTTTCCCGGTAATTTATTCTAGATGATCCACTTATTAATGCTTGCTTAGTGACCTAATTGCCCCTTATTTAAGGAGCCATTCCTTTTGTCTTATACAATACAATACAATACAATACAATACACACGTTTTTTCCACTACTGAATTGAGAACCTGTGGCTGCCTCTCTTTTGCTTTGTGCAAACATGCGCCTTGTGCTTCCATTTCCTGCCTAGTTCCTCTTGTTGGGAAATTGAGNTAATAAGAGGAATAATAATTTTTTGGAGAATGTATGATTAAAAAAGATGGATTTTTTTTTTAATTTATGTGCAATATTATTTTATTAGAAAATATGTGGTTGATAAGAATAGAGAGAAAAATAAATTATAATTTAATTGAAACCAAAGGGGGCTTATTATTAAGACAATAGTACAATTTTCCCTTACTATAAAGAGATTCAAATTCCATAATGCATAAATGAGATAATACAGGTTTGGTTTGAAAAAAATCATATGCATATTATATAGAGACAAAAGTTCAATTGTTGAAATAAAATATGTTAGTACGTGTCACCTTATTAATTAATGAAATGAAATGAAAATAAACATATGAACAATGAAACAGGGGCGGACCCAGCACCCGACGAGGGAGGGCGACCGCTCGTGCTGGATCCGTCGGAGCCTTCAATTCCGCCTGGTGGAACAATTGCAGAGAGAACAAGGACAGAGAAGGCGGGGAGGAAGGAAGAAGATCGATCAGGTGGGCCTTTTTGTGTTTTTAGTTTTGGCCTATTTTTTTTGGGCCGAGGGAGTTGGGCTCTGTGCAAGACACGAAGGGCCATCATCTGTACTGTAATCATCATTCAACGAGCCAATCACAACGGTCACTAAAAATTTCCCAACATTTAAATTCCCCAGATTAACATTAGCCTTAAAGCAACATCCACACGCGTACGGTTTAGATCTAGTTAGATTAATTAGAAGTCGTCCAACTGTTAACACGTGTCTTTAGTAGAGTTGTCGACCTTTTCTCTGTTGCCGGCTTGTTTATCAATGATTAGAGACAATTTAAACTTCATAATTAATTTAAATAAAAATTAATTGATTTGTTTCTCTCTCATTAAAGCTCCATCTTTCTCTCTCTATGTCTCTGTCTATATATTTGTCTCCTTCTCCAGTTATCCATCAATACTGGAGTCCTCTCTCTCTCTCTCTCTCATTAGCATTTCTACAGTCCTATACAGTTCTCTTTATTTTGCTAAATTTCAAGTATTAGGGTGAGAGAAAATGGCTTACTCTAAATCGTTGGTGCTTTAGTTTTTGCGTTGTTGGCTGCAATAGCATTGGGCCTTTTTTCTTTTTCTTTTTTTTTAATGAGGCCCAATTGAATGAAATAATTTTCGAGAAAATTACGTAAAATCCTTCTTTTCAAGATTACAATTCAAAAATCAGGTTATAAAGTTTACATTTCAAAAATCAGGTGGAAATTAGGATTATTAATTGTAATTAATAAAATTTTAAATCTACCTATTTCATCACCCCACCCCCCCTCATTAATTGAATTCCCAAACCGAGAAGCCCTCTTCATTTCTCTTTGTATCTTCTCCATCTCCCTCCCTTCATTCTCCTCTCGTAGCAGCTTTGCCCCGACACAACCATCTTCGTCCCTGTGAATCCACAGCTGCTTCGCCACCTCCGCCCGTGAAGGTTCGTCGGGCAACAGTCAGCACCTGCTTCGGTTCGACTTGAGCCCTACTTAGTTTGACTTTTATTTTATGTGAGGTTTAATTTTATTTTTTCAAACTTTTAATCTCAGTTGCACATTGTTATGGAATATTCAAAATCAATCGTTAACCTAAAGCTATTGCGTGATGACAGGCAAGAATGTGAGCAAAGCTCCTAAGATTCAGAGGCTGGTAACTCCCTTGACTTTGCAGAGGAAGAGAGCCAAAATTTTCAATAAGAAGAAGAGGATTGCCAAGGCCAAGGCAGAAGTTGCTGAGTACCAAAAGCTTCTCACTTCTAGTTTGAAAAAACAGAGGGAGAGGCAGAGTGAGAGCTTGGCCAAGAAGAGATCTAGACTATTTGCAGCCTTTAAGCCGTCTATTGCTGCCTGTGGTGGTGCGGTGGTGTCGCGGTGGCATCGTAGTGATGATGCTAGTGTGAATGGCATCGTAGTGATGATGCTAGTGTGAATCTGCACATCGAGCTGGCCGAACTGGTAGTCTTGGCAGGAGGGGTATTGTGGTCACCATATGCGAGGTGCCAGAAATCTTTGTCGTTAAGAAGCTACAGAAGCAGCTTGGGGTCTGTATTGACGCTTGTAAGTTTACAGAGGGGAAACTTGTTGTGAATGAAGAAGAGAAGACATAGAGGCCTTTTTTTGAGAAGAGAAGACATACAGAAGACATAGAACATTTATCAGGTTTCTATATTCCTTTTTTGTTTTCACTCATAAATCTCATAATCAGAAAAGATTGGAAGACTGAAATGGTGGTGAAGTGGTAGTGGTTGTTGGTTGTTTAGTGGTGAAGGAGGTTGTTGGTGGGTTGCAAAATGGTAGAGATGCGTTTCTATTGATTGTGGTGGTGGTTCGGCGGCCGAAAGTTCTAGTGCTAGATCGCGATTTGGCTACCGAGTAGTTCGTTGTGACTGTTTGTGACCGAATGTGACTGTTTTGTGACTAATTGTGCCCTTTTGTGACTGATTGTGACTGGCGAATTGTGACTCGTTGTGACCGATTGTGCCCTTTTGTGAACGATTATGACTTGTGAATTGTGACTTGTGGTGACCAATTGTGACAAAAAAATTTTGGAAAAATTTGAAAATTGGCCGCCGGAACAGGCCTCGGGATGATTGTCGGAGAGTCACCGAGCGGCCACCGGAGTAATAGTCGGGACAGTCGCGCGGTGCGTCGCCGGAGTGGTGCCGGAGATGAAGGGAAGGTGGTGTAGTGAGGTGATGGGGGTGGGTGAGGTGTCATGGGGTGTAAATAATTAATATATATTATATTATAATTTAATATTTAATAAATCTATTTACCACCTGATTTTTGAAATAATTAGACAAATTTATTAGTTTTGAA